TCCGTTCTTTGGCACAATTTTATCAACGCCATCGGACCGAATGATACTGGAAACGTGACTAAAAATAACCAATCCTCCTCCCGCTACGTCGAGCGAGCAGCAGACGATGTTTGGCAGATAATTTAGCATGGTGCCGTGTGCACCGGTGACGAAACGGTTAATATTTTTTAGTGTTTTCTGACCGTAAACTTGCGATACCAAGCGAATAGATCATCGAGAAAACAGTATTATTTTAATTTTCTATTTTTAAAGTTCTTATAAAAGTACTGAAAACGCCGCGCGGCGCATGTACATCGCGAGTCGTCTTCTCTTGAAAACGTACGGTTGAGATAACCGGAAAAATGGTCACCAACCGTCGTTGTAGATAAACGTAATATTTGATATGTGTATCATGCTAAGCGTAAGCTATGATATGTTACTCTACTTTATTGTCACACGATGAGTAATATGTGGTGACACGCTCGTGGAGTTGATTATATCGCGTCTAGGTTAAAATTAGAATATGTAAACATCCTTAATGACATTTAAGAAGGAGAACATTTTCAATGGCGCCATGTAAAACGCAGTTTTATAAACAGAATCGCACCGTTTTATATGGATTTCGACTAAATATTTTCTAGAAGTCGAGTTATTTTTAACTGCTGGTCAAAACAATTGCAAGGTGCTCCTAAATATATTCGTAATAAAACGTCTTCGCAGGAAGAATGTATTGCAATTTCAATCCGTTTAATGTTTATACAAATTATATACTTTATGCGTACTAAATTAATATTGAATAAAATCATTGATATTTAATTTAAATAATTATTAAATACACTAAAGAAAATCTCTATTATTTTCGATGATGAATAAAAAAATTAAAAACGAAATGAAAACCGGTATTTACATAATGTATTTCAGACTGAACGACAGTGTGAAATATCGATAATATTGTTCAAACGATAAAACTATTGTTTCATCCTTGGAAATAATATACAAGCAAGGCAGTTTTTTTAATACGTACTGAAATAATTCAAGATATATGTACAATAATAATATAGCTAGGTATGTAAGGAAACAATAAATCTGCAAAATCCATCATGTTTCGATTTAAATATTCGAAATCGAAGAATTCTCGTGAATACCAAAAGTCTCTATATTAACTAACTATAATGTCATATTGCAGTATGGCAGTACAAAAAAAAATTCCATAATAACACCTTGGACGCAACAGGATACATCGAGAACAATAAAAACTGTTTCATTTTCACGGGTATCTTATTCCATAGAGCTACCTATAATATAACTTTTCAGTGTATTCAGCTATTTCCGAATATTTCAGCCGAGGGATGGTAAAATACTTTGAAAAATATTCGTTCACGTTTAGAAATCAGCAGATTCGTTATATCCGCGTTAGTATTTTAAAAAATAATAACTAATCGAAGATGGGCGAACAAAGCCCGCGTATATAGTCTCACATATTTCGATTTCTGACACGACAGTAATACAGTTTTGCATAATGTACCGGAAAATTACGCTCACTCCCGAGTCCCGAAAATAACGAATGGAACTCTTTTCCGCCGCACTATTCATTTGCAATCTGTCACACGTCGCAGATTTCAATACGAATGAACGTTTCTAATTTTTCGACCAGATCGCATTGTTGTTGTTGGTCGCCGTTTGCGCATTACAATGAATAATCTCGTTGGTTATTAATTAGAGCGTATCCGTCGTTAAGAGTCAAAAATACGACTGCGGCGGCGGCGTCGTGTACTTGAAATTTTAATGGCCTACGACCAAGGGTACCAGAAAGGATTTTCTAGCAACATTATATCACGGTCGTTTTAAATATAATATCCGTTTGCTTTTCGTTTCATTAAATTCCTGCGGCGTGGTTCGCGAATCGCCCCCGGCCCACTTAACTTTGCGGACCCGCTCGTCTATAATGTATTATGTTTGTGTAATATTATTATTATTATTGTTATTACGTAGGGAGTTATGTGCGTTTGGCAAACGGGCTGAAGCACATGGCCGACTACGAGCGCTGCAAAGCCAAACGAACACGGATAATATAATATTGTTGGACGCGGTTTTCTGCAGCGGAACGAGCGACAAACGATTGCGAATCAAATATGTTTACGTGTAACGATTTCTCAACGTGAGAACTCATTACGCTTCATGATTGTTGTTTTAAACGTTTTATTGCTGTCTGATCGTACCGTAAAAATATTACACCGTAAAACCTCGATCATCCGAACTAATCGAGACCGCACCTGTTTCGGATACTGGAAATTGTTGAAAAAAAACCCATTTTTTTTTTTTTTTTTTTTTTTTTTTTTTTAACATACAATTATCATTATTTTTATTATTATTAGGTACGAAGTCTGTTCAAAAAGTACCAGGACAAATGTTATTGAGGCTAATCTATACATGATAACGTTTTAAATTATAAATAGATATATTCCCAACGTATTAGATAATATTTTGAACAAAACCCGAAATCGCTATCTTATCTCAGTTTAATATTATACGTTGTTAAATCTAGTCAGTTTGTTTCGATCTCCGTTTTCGTCATGTCCGAAATTAACGAACAACGTGTGTGCATCAAGTTTTGCTTGAAACTTGGTAAAAATGCAACTGAAACGTACACAATGATTAAAACTGCTTTTGGGGACGATTCTTTAAGTCGCTCCGTTATTTTCGAGTGGTTTAAACGTTTCAAGGATGGTCGACAGTCAACTGAAGATGATCCACATACGGGAAGACCGTCGATATCCAGAAACGATGATGTTGTGGCGAACATTTACGAAAAAGTGCGAAATGACCGCAGATTAACTGTTCGTGAGTTAGCAAATGAGGAAGGAATCTCAATTGGATCTTGTCATGAAATTTTAACAGAAAATTTACAAATGAGAAGGGTAGCTGCTAAATTCGTTCCGCGGTTGTTGACATCGGAACAAAAGGAAAATCGTTTAACGATTTGTAAAGACCTTAAAAATCGATCTGCTGATATTAATTTCATTAAAAACATCATCACAGGGGATGAGACATGGATTTATGGGTACGATCCAGAAACAAAGTTACAGTCATCTCAGTGGAAAACAAAATTTTCCCCTCGACCAAAAAAAGCTCGCCAAGTGAGATCGAATGTCAAGACAATGCTGATTGTTTTTTTTGATATTGAAGGTATTGTTCATTATGAATTTGTGCCCCATGGACAAACAGTCAATCAGGTATTCTATAAAGATGTATTAATACGTTTGCGAGAAAGAATCCGCAAAAAGCGCCCAGAAAAATGGCGAAGTGGAACCTGGTTTCTTCATCACGACAATGCGCCAGCACATTCAGCTTTGTCAATTCGTGAATTTTTGGCTGAAAAAAAAATACCTGTGGTCCCGCACCCTCCCTATTCTCCTGATCTAGCCCCATGCGATTTTTTTCTTTTCCCGAGATTAAAATCTGCGCTTAAAGGACAACGATTTCAAGATGTAGAGGAAATTAAAGCGAATACGGCAACAGAACTCAAAGCTATAACTTTAGAACAGTTCCAAAGGACTTTCGAAAAATGGCAAGATCGCTGGAACCACTGCATATCGTCTAGAGGAGAGTATTTTGAAGGCGATGTCTTTAAATAATATGTAACTTCATTTTTGTAATTATTAAAAATAAAATCCTGGTACTTTTTGAACAGACCTCGTATATTAGTATTGCATTGTGTAAATTTAGAAATATACTATCGCAAACTACTTAGGAAAATACTCGTATGTTTTTCATATTTTTTCAATATCAATTGTCAATAATAATTTCCAATTGTGTAAACACACATTTGCTCGCAATACTCGTCGAGTCTTGGATCGAGGTTGGGGATGAATTCCTCGCTTCTATAGGTTTGTCCAATCGTATGAAATTTCACGTTTATCTGGCCGTAACCTTTCAAATAGAACAGACGATACGAATTATAGATTTATCAACTATCACGGTTTTCCATCCGATAGTCGCTCACGTTCAACAATAATACTATAACGCACTTAAACTACACGGACGTAAACGGACGAACGATGAATAATTTAACGCGGCAACATTTTCTTCAAATGACAGTTGGTGACATTTTCACGAGAAACAAGTAGAAATTGAAACATCACGGGACGATACTAGATCGATAATAGAGTTCATATTATTTTCGTTATTTTCAGGTTCCGTTACCGCTTCCGATATCTCTATGATAATCGACTTCGGGCCAATATACAGTTTTTATATTAATTCCAGTAGTACCGCAATCATATTAAAATAGTATGCATATAAAGTTATGAATTTATTATATATACATAATTATTATTATTTTTTTTTTTTAAATGATTTTTAGTTCTGATTGCAGTCATGCACCGACACGAGAATATAATAAGTAATTTTTAAAAAATTAAAAGATCGAAAGTCTGCTGTTCATTGTTGCGTTCACAGAATCTGTTTTCTCCGCGTGCTCGATACCGCGTTTGAACTTCTGTTTCGAGAGACGATAAAAAAAATATATGTATTTTCGCATACCTACATATGTCTATGTGTACATTTGTACACAGGTAACACGATTGTAATGCTGTACTGCGAATCAAATCGATCGAACTCGTTATGAAGTCCAAGAAAGAAATACTTTACCGCGGTCGTTTATCATTCATAATTAAGAGATTTGCAGCGGCAATAATTTACATGGCATTCTCGGTGTAGCCAAAGACCTGTCGACGACGCCTGTTTAACGGTTTCGTTTGTTCGTGCTGCTTGAAAATCCAAATGTTTCCATCCTTTGCCGCTGGACATTAATCGCAAACATTTTATTATACGTGAACCGCGTAGGCGCATCATATTATGTATTACTTTTGCGCGTGCTTCCGACCGGCGTTGAACGTGTATCGTACGCAATTTATAATTAGTTATTAAACGGCCGTGTTCGATTTAAGTTTTGCACACGATAAGTTTCGTAATAATATAATGTTAACACCGCATCGTAGATACACATATAAAAGCGTTCGTGTGCATAACACCGAGTGTTACTTAGCACGAATGTTGAAACCGGCCCAACATTTTGACATATTGCAACTACAATAAATTACTACGAGATATCGAGCCGACGTGTAAATTTAAATTTACATTTTGAATAGTTTCAGACAATAATATAATACTCAACAGTAGGTAATACACATAAATGTGTGCGCGTGAACGTGTATGGTTAGAAAACTGTACGGGCAAATTTAACAATAATAAAAATTATATACAAACATACGTTATGCGTACTACACTTGGACAAAATACAGTATCGTAGACCCGGTGAGTGATTATTTGCTATAAGCTTTATTTTTTTTCAATTTTTTACTGTACGTGTACTATAATCAATATTAAAAAACAACAAACCAGTTTACAATATCCTGGAGACCGATTCATCTCCAATATCAATGTGGGTAATTATTATTAATAAATATAATTATATTTTCGAGGCTGCGAGAAAAAAAAACAAAATTTTAATTAATCAAATGGTAAATAATCATTTTTTCAAGTTCGAAATATTAAATTTTATTGTGATGGTCTTGTGCAATACGCGTGGCACAGCAGTATTCGTTCATGGAGTGTACCCCAACGGCGACTACCCACATAAGTGTTTACCAACATCTATAGTATACCTTACACTAACCATGTGAATAGGTTTTTTTTTTCGTTATTGCTATACAACTCAAATGATATATTACAGATGATTTTGTCAAAGAAAAATATTAATTATAATAACATGGTGTTCAACAATAATCACTATAATTATCAGAAAAAATAAATTGAAAAAAAAGTGCAAAAACACGCAAGGACTCTAGTTCTTAGAACACGAAAAAGTAATGTAGATGTCGGTAAAACAATTTTTTATTTACGATAATAGTTGAATGGTTGGTATTTGAATTACTTAATATTTAATTGTAATATTATAAAAAAGAAAAAATGTATTATCATCAATATACACGCTTTTTTGTGATCAACCTCGCACGTGTGACAAAATAAAAACGATTTTTCTGTTGTAACTTACTAAAACTCGTGACCCATCGGTTACAGATTAACAATTAACACTGAATATTTGAAAAAAATAACTCGACTTTGTTGGTAATTTCAAATTATAAATTGATATGAAAACGTACAACGTTCTGGATAATCGTAAAAAGGAAAATCAACTTTGACATTTTTAGCGTAAAAAGGACACGGATAATACGAGATATGTGTTCAATAGAAACTTCGAACGGCTGAATCGAGACTAGACACGTAACGTGATCGAAATCCTGGAACGTTTCGTCAATACTTCTAGAAACGTTATCGGGGCTCTGACGATGAACAACGAGGTAATTATAAATATATCAGAATCGAATAAAAACATGGACACAGTTTATTGTTTAATGTGTTCCTTTGTCAGATTTGTTCGAAATTACATGGGTTGACAGAGCGATGATTGTCGTTTCGATTGGTTAAAAATCAATAACACTAAATGTAACCTAATAAATGTAATACAATACACAGTTATGAGACAACGAGTTTAGAAGTATACCTACGTCTCAGGCAAGAAAATAACGCGAATGCATGCAAAATTAAAAAAAACAACAATGAAAATATCTCAATACTCGCACGAAAATAATAAATACAGTTACTCGTATTAGGTATTTTACTCATTATAATTTTTATTTATTCAAAATATAATTAGTATGAAATCGTCCTCTGTTCCGTATAACAATTGTCATTATTTATTCATTTTAATACAAGTAGATAATAATGGTATGTTAGTGAAATATAGGCACAATTATATTATAGTTTTTAAAATATTACATAATTTCATATTATAATATTTCCATTATATTTAACTATTTATAAAGTATAAAACAAGTATAGGTTAAATATTGTCTCGATAGAGTTTTGAAAAAACACATATCGTCATTTTTAAATACTTAAAAATATCACAAAAAATATAAATTATAATACAAGTATATGTCAAGTTTTAAAAAATTTCATTCGTTAGTATAAGTTAGGTTTTAAAAAAATCTTATAATTAAAGAGAACAGTTTTGACAAAAGTGTACCTACTAATTTCATTGGAATTTTTTTTTTGTAATCGCGCGTCTTTTGTAGTTTTTAAACCGTTTAATATTTTTTTGTTTTTTGAAATTTTTTTATATTATTTTGAGCACTGCTAATTTTGATATATATATATATATATATTTGATACAAGGCCGTATCTGGGGGGTTCAGGGTGTCTGGGCCCCTTGCAACTTCTCCAATATTTTACGAATGTTTAAAATAATTATTTATTTTTAATACCAACATAAATATTTTCAGTCAAAAATCAGTTAAGCTCCAATTAATCATTGGCGACTTTTAGTTTTATATCATAATATCATATGAAAATATGATATTAATTTTAATAAAAAAAGATTAAATATTTTATTTTTAACCAAATATCAAAAGTTAAAATCTAAATTCAATGAAATTACAATATACATGTGTTGGACCCCTCCGAAAAAAAATTTCTAGATACGGTCTTGATTTGATGTATATATATATATTTTGATAATATAATATCTAAACCGTTATTATCGACGATTATCAATAATTATCAAAGATTATGAGTGTACTTACATATTACAAATGTTTTTTTACATATACCATAACATATATTCAATATTGCTTAAAAATTAAAACCAATGGTTTCCAAACTTTTTTTGGCGGAAACGGGAATCATATCTTTTTCGTTTTAGGCGGAAAAGGGCTATGGCGGAATTATTCAATATTATTTCGGCGGAAACGGGTAACTTCCATAACTTTAGGCAATATTATTTTATTATATAGATAAAGAGTGGTTTTCACGGATGAATTAATTTAAAACATTTTTCTTATAAAACATCGAAAGAAAGAAAAAAATAACGGACGAGTCAATTTTGAAAATGCCGCTCTAGGCAGATGCCTAGCTCGCCTATACCTTGAGCCGGCTCTGCTATTAGCTTATATAATATTGATAAATTATGACTTCTGGTATTACTTTACCAACTATATCTATTGACTTGTTATTTTCGGGAATGCGTTTCATAACATCAGTAAGAAAGTTCAAAAAATTTTCCCGCGCATCTCGTAAACAATCTCGTAAACAATATAATAGCTCGTGTGACATTGCTCTTCATTTAGAATATAGATTCGTCAGCCATCACTGTTAACAGATGTTGTAAACAAGAAATAATTCAATCAAATCAAATAATGTGGTAATTTAATTTTAATTTTTTTTCTTCGAGTACATAATATATACTATAACAACAAAACTTAATTTAACACGCGATCGAATATTAAAATTAAAAAACAAAAAAATTGTGTCTGAAATTCTAGACGATAATGGAGCTTGTAAGCCTGGAACAGATTGTGTGTGTGTGTGTGTGTGTCATTGATTTAAAAATTAATTGGTGGACAATTTATTTACGCGTCGACCCGTCACCGACGTATTGGCAACGTTATGTTCTAGACAGGTTAGAATACGTATTTCGAACTACGGTTTCCAGAACCAATCATTTTTGAACGCTTTCGCGATTATCAATTATTATTACTATTTTTTTTTTTCACTCCAACGGTGTCAATTAATGGGTACGTTCTAACGTACCGTAAAACGGTTAATTAATAATAAATCCGGTCGATCGGTGTTGTTGACATATTTCCTCACTTTTCCCTCCGTTTTGGTGATAGTTATCTCATTTAGTACTTTAAAACGATATTTGGTTTCGGGTTTCGAGAAGAAAAAAGTAACCATATTGGGAATATTCGCTGCAGGCCAACTAATCAGGGAATAATTGTTTCTGGATTTCAAATGTTATTTCGATTTAGCGTCGAAAAACATGATAATGTCTTTTAGCACGATGTTGAGCAGTGCAAGAATGGATTCAGGTGTGCAATGATTTAACGAAATACTCATTCAAAAATATTTTGGATAAATGAATAATAATTTTAGAAAAACAACCTACCTTATATTTATTTGTCAAATATTAATACAGTAACCGGGGGGGGGGGGGGGGGGAGAGAGAAGCTTAATCCACTCTGTAAAAACAGTTGCTTTGGGTTCAGCGGCCGTTATATTATCAAACCATACAAAATTATAGTACTTACCCCATTGATTTTCGTCCGTCCCTCAGATACGTTTTAATTTGGTTTTTGTTTCGCAGGAAAATCGACAATCTCGCCTATTTCCGTGTATGTAAATGTTCACGATAAAATGTGTAGACATCGAAAGTGTACTACTGACATATATTGTTAAACGTCTTGAACAATGTGCGTTGTTCGATTATCATGCGTTCCAGTGAACGAACCTGTATAATTAACTTTTCCATCGAACTTTTATTTTTTAAGATGGTTGTGCAATCTATAATATTATTTTCAACAGTTTACCACATGCTAGGAGATTTTTTCTTCGTTCGCGATGTGTATTGACTTTTAAAAGTTTGACGTATTTATAAGCAAAATCTGCATTTGCATAATATTTTATCGAACGGTTGATTGGTGGTTAGCTTATGTTACAGCTTACGGAAATCGTTCAGAAAAAGTTTCATTTATTTCGATGCGCTTTTTAAAGTTAAATAAATAAATAAAGTGTTTTCCCGTCAAAGTTAATACGTTTTTCGAGTTCTTTGATGTTAAGGTCGTGTGCGCAGTCATTTTAGGTTTTCGAATTTCGACCTCTATACTAAATAGAAATTGATAAAAAAAAAATTATATCGCAGTCATTATTATTACCATAGAATGCATTACGTAACAAAAGGTAATTCGAATGCGTAGGCTATATAAATTTTGTTCCCAATTTGTTTGTGGAGCACAACCTATTGGCGTAAAGCGAAAACCACTCGTTAATCTCGACGACAGATGGCGCGACGTGACGTCGTTTCGGTCAAAAAACCGAAAAAACGGTAATGTAATAACAATAGCAGTACATTTTAGGTCTGTTTATACCCTGCAAAACGTAAATTGTAGAAGCTCATATTATCATTGATTTACGAACTGTTAGTTTCAAATCGTTCATGCTACGAAGCGCACGCCTATGTCCGACAATCCTAACCGTAACGATTAAATTTAAATTTAATATAAACTGTTTCGTTATTATTGTGTAGGTATTTTATTTCATTTTATCTCTTTACCTAATTTTGTAAAAAAAAAAAAAAAAACAGTAGTCATCATACAAAATAAAAATAAAAACGGTTTACTAAAATTCTTATTTTTGTTTTTAATCGGTTGAACTATGAAATTTCGTTTTGAAAGAATTGGCTCTTCGCGTTCGTTCGCAGCGCCATCGGTTCAACGAGTAATTCGTCAACCTAAAACCTGCACCGAGGCGAGATCTATCGTCGTCGTAGTAAAACGGTGAAACGCTAAAATTAGCATTACGCGCAAATCACAACAGTGCACTCAATAATACGAAGATTGCTACCAATATCCAACGGAAAAAAAATTGAATAGTATTTTCGAATGATTTTTCGCTCATGCAAGTTCGCTCAGACCGAGTTGATTCAACCAACCGACTTCCGCCTCGTTTTCCCACAGTTCAACGCTATAATATTATGCGCAGATTACAATATGTGCGCACTGTACTGCATTAAACGCGTTTTACTGTAAAACTCTACAGTTTTTTTTTTAGATCATATTTTTAAATGTCTTTTCGCCTGAGTAACAGATTAGGACCGAATCGTTTGAACTATTTTCCGTTTCGTTTCCCGTCCATCATTTACTTTTGTTCTACAGAGTTCGTTTGCCGGATTGCAGTGTCGTCGCTGCACGATTTTTAATTATTTTTCCGTGTCGTAGAACGTACCAAAATATTTGTGCATCACGGTTTCCAATATATTGGTAATACGTGTGTATTATTGCGCATGTCGTCGCCCTAAAGCTGGTCAGGTGAGCCGATTTCGCCGCACGTTGTCGCAACAGTTTCCGCCCACGGCGGATAACCATCTACTATTAAACTAAGATTGTTCGGACGGTAAATTTATACGGACGAAACCGCACCGCGAAGCTGAGTTCATGGTTTTCAAATCGGCAAACAAGAAATACGCGTTTCAAACATTGCGGTGTTCTAATAGAACTATAATAATATCTCGACCAGACGGGATAGAAAAAGACGGCGGGCCGCGGCATGAACGTACCGAAGGATGCAATAACTATGGCTGAAACATCTCATGTCAGTTCGAAGAAATCCTACGGGACGGTCCACAACATATTGTTGTCATGGGCGCGATAGAATGGGTTGGACAACTACAAATCTAATTTTAATGATGGTAAAGCGACAATGCCAAAGCCGTATAAAAAATTACATTTTTTATCGTTAATTATAAACATTATGGAGAAACTCAGGAATGCTGTTAAAACACTGTTTCTTTTACGTAATTAAAAAAGAAATACAATAATTCTTAAATTACTATAATATATAATATGAACAAAACAAACATCATGTTTTTATTGTCAAAGGAAGTATTGTAATTAATAAATCTCCGTGGGGTATATTAACGGTATATCAAACAATTTGAAACAATTAATAATTAGTGTTTCCCGTTAGAAACAACCAACGTAGTTTATATGTTAATTAAATTAGCAAGTAGCTGTAAATTCACTTAGTTATACTATGTATTAATATTACGAGTAATTTGATTAGTTTTAATTTTAATAACACGTATTTAGTTTGTCGTATAAACAGGAGTGCTAAATAAATTCGCAAAACAATAAAATATGTATAATATGAAATCAAAATAAAATTATATTAATCGGATATTATTTTTATTTTTATTTTTTGAAGACTGTTGAGAACACTTGTTTACGAGATGCAAATCTTACAAATGCCCTTTTAAATGTAAGCTTATTGAATAATTCATTATTTTCGGTACATTATAGATTCACTTACAGCATTGAAAATGTATAATGCAAATTGTTTTTAACCTATTATTATAATTGCAGCCTACCAGTTCGGGGTGTAAATATAGCCTGTATATTTTATTTGAATAAAACGCATTAAATATTTGTTGACGTTTTTTCTTTCTATTACACGCGTAGCTATATACTCACCGTGATTTGTTAAATTACTGGTTACGACAGACAACATTAAGTAACAACACTATTCGTTTACAACTAAAATAATAAAACGACTATACATTTACGCCTGTATTGTATTCGTACGAGACACTTTGAATATTTTAATTTATTTTGAAACCGATTCGGAACTGACGCGTTTTACGATTTCGTATTTTTATTACGTATACCAGGAGCGTACCCAGGATTTTTTTATGGGGGGGGGGTCCAAAATTTTTATTTTATCTGTTCTCTAATTATAATTATAGTTTAACTCAATACCAACAAATTACTGTTAATATACTAAAGTAGGTTTATATATTGTAGATATATTATTTAATCTATAAACTTTGAAGATAATGGGAAATTAAAATACACCATATACTATTAAATCGTTGAATATGTATATATATATGTAATATATATATATATATATATATATATATATATACACATATATATTGCATGTATTAATTTAAAAAAGGACCTCGCGCGTATATCTTAATAAAATAAAATAAGTGCAGACCTCATAAATTTAGCATACGGTGCCTAACATAATAATATAGTAAGAATAATTTTAATGCGTTTTGTTATGAATTATTTTCACTCGTACGCGAATATCGAAATAAAGACGACGACGATTTCGTAAAGTCGTAATTTGTAGTATTAATAATTATTGTTATATGACTACAATGGCAGTGTAATAAAAATAGTTTTATACGAAAATTAACGCTTACCTCATCGCAAGCCGAACACCTCGGTTTGAATTTTTGTGCATAGTGACGTTCGCAGTACAAATGGTCTTCGTACAGACAATAAGTCAGATCGACGAGGAGCTCTTGGCATTCGGTGCAAGTGAAGCATGTCGGATGCCATAAAACTGTATCGCCAAATTTAGACGCGAACACTCCTATTTCACCTGGTTCAACATTTTTCTGACATTTCGGACATTCCTACGAGCGCGACAAACAAAATTTACTATTATTAAAATCAAAATCTTTACAAGCTACGCGCTTATACAACTTATATTAAATTATCTATACGTAATATGTTTCTCGTTGTCAAAGTGTTCTGTGATACGTAAAATTAATACGATTTAAACGGAAATGTCGATACAATTATTATTAAATAAAGTTAGTCCGAGTATTGCAAGTAGCTATTCACGTATTTTTCTATAGTGAAAACGAACAACTTAAGAAGAAAAACACGGAATAATTCAAACAATTACAATTTATTGTCATTACAATTGTACGCGCGTTGTACAAAAATCGAACTGATATCATATATTATGTACGATTACAATTATTAATGACCAGGGCTCAGGTTATATCACTTAAAATCATTAAAATAAGCGCTTAAAAACATCATTATAAACACTACAATAAGTATTTAAAAAATTTAAAATCAAGCAAATATATTTATTAAAAAAAAATATAAAATTCTAACTATAAAAATCAAACAAAATAAAAATAAATCTTCGCTTTCAAGACTTTAAGGATTTTATGGATTTTCTAAGTAGTTTTTCTGAAAAATGAAATGTAAACTGTTATCTCTATTCTTGATCATTCTGACGTTTGACACTCAGTTCTATTTTCAGCGTTGGAATATCTTTGTTAACCCTATAACGATGCCTTGGGCGACGACGAACTACGTGACAACGTATATAAGATAAGAATTAATTTTAACTTTAATTCTATCAAGAACGACTTTGCAGGAGAAAACTAGAATCACGTAAAAAAAACTGGTCAAATAAGCAAAAATAATCAGAAGAACTGGAAATAAGCATTTTTTTGAAAAATTGCTGAAAAAGTAAAAAAAACCACTTTCAAATTTCATAATTGTACGTGTTATAACTTGACATACACTTCTATAGCACTCTGATACATTTTAAGTCAATCCATAAAAATAAGCAAATGCTTTAACTCCCGAGCCTTGTTAATGACTATTCGTGGTCAATCTATACGTTTATAATAATTATTAAGACTTAATTATTATAATTATGTGCTGAAAGAAAACTCATTATTTCAGCAAAATATGTATGATAAAACGTATCTTAATTGTACGTCAAAAACGACAAACCTATTCCAGATATTCGATAAAGGACTAATGTTTTTTTGGAATCCAAGTACACGTCCAATCTAGAGGTGGATCTATGGGGAGGTTCAGGAGGTCAGTTGACCCACAATTAATATTTGTTGACAAAATCGGCCTCTTAAAGAAATTAATACTAGACTGGGACAAATTCCCCAGTTGCCAACCCCCAAATGAGGCCAATTATTTAATTGTATAGTACAGTAAAACATTTCTAAGTCATGTAAGTCTCCATAAAATAAGATAAATGGGAACGTTCTCATTGAGAATTAACTTAAATACACATATTATATTATAATATGTGTATTTAAGTTAATTAAAAAAAAGTTAATTAAGTTAAAAAGTTAGTTATTAAAGTTAGTTTAAATTAATTAAAAAGAAAAAAAAACAATAAAGATCATATTATGATCTGATAGTGTTTTTTTTTTTTTTTTTTTTTTTTTTTTTTTTGTTACAAGGCTTCATTTATAATTTTATAATTTAGTTTCAATTAAATAAATTAATAATCCAGTTTCAGTCCTAATAAATGGCCTCTTGAAAATAGTTTGACGCACAATTCTCTAAATGTGGATCTGCCCCTGGTCCAATCATGATTGTGTTGGAAAAAATATAAAAACTAACCACGTGATAAGTGCATTCTCTGGCGTATCCAATGTCTAACGCTATCTCGTTTCTAGCGTTTATGAAGTCCTCGTAGCTCTGGTGATGCCTTTGCTCCACGTGTTTGCAATACGTCAACGCTAAGTCTTGCTTGGGTAGTTGCACGACTACTTGCTTGTCCCGGTACTTCTCGCCGGCCGTGCCCAGCTTAGGAACTTTATTGGACGGTAAACTGTTGAAGTATTTCTCTACCTGCACATCCGGAACCGTGATAATTAACATGTAACCACCGTCGATTACAATTACTCGATTTATATAAATTATCGTTTATAACGAATACGATGGACACTTACCTTGTGACTGGGCAGCCCGGGTGGAACCCACGAGTATCCTTGGCTGTAAGACCTTTCCTTCGACACCCTCTTGTCCGGATCTTGGACCGGCTTGAAACCGAGTCGGTCGCGTACGTTGACCCACTCCTCGTGCAGCACATCGTGCGAGTCCTTTGTACATTTACAGCTGCCGCATGTCTTCCTGGAACGCGAAACACATGTATACACGTATAGAGGCAATCGCGTCAGACTACGTCGTTAGTGATGTGTCCAATTATACATTTGTTTCCCGCTGCGCGGCTTCAACAACAATATAATATAATACATCTGTATATATGCATAGACAAATATACCGGGTGATCAGAATTTCATAATACGACAGCGGTTCTGCGTCTTTAAACACATGAAATATAGAATAAATCAGTGAATCGAGTAAATTTAAACATTGAAGTTTCACAAATAATTTTTGATCGTATATCACTGTATAAAATTACACTGTACTGGAAATGTTAGTGTATTTTGCGTATTACTTATACGAAAAAACCGCTGCGACGCTGTCACATGAATTTCCGATCGTCTGGTGTGTAATATGTATTAATATACAAGTACATATTAACTATATTATATTATATTACGTACGAGGGTCGGCCGTATATGTTAACACATATACACACATACACACACACACACACACACACACACACACACACACACACACGCACGCACACGCATAATGTATAGGTATGCGTACAATTTGCAGCCAAATTACCTAATGATAAGCTCGCAAAGCTCTTCCTGTCCAAAGACTTTGCCGTAAAGTTCGAGTATTCGCACGCACGCAAACTTCAGCCCCGGCCAAGGGATTAGCGGTGAGTCCAGTCCGCTGTACAGTGGACAACAGTGAGCCTTTAGGTCTAGCATATCCTTCGGCACCGGTCCTGCGGGAAATTACGGAGCTCAAATCGCGGTGCACAATACCATTGCCGCGGTTTTTAAACGCGTAGTGTTACGTGTACGTGTTACGCGCGCGCGCATCGCGTCCAGTGACACGAACAGTGAATGCATTTGCATGCGCACCGATTGCGCAACTGTGACACGAGTAGGGCGCGCATGTCGTTCAAGGGCAACACGGACAACCCTATTTAAAACGCGGTTGTTGTTATAACCATTCATTGCCTAAACACGAAACGACCAACAAGTGTCCTAAACATGCCCCGAGCTATACGGCGATCACTGCAGGATGTATACATATACACTTATAAGTGGGTGCATTAACGTTACGTTTAGCTACTGCACGTGCGCGCTCGAAAAACATCTGTACTCGTCACTGCGTATTCGCGACATATTATTACGTGACGATGGTGTATTAGAATATTTTAACATTTTATGGTATGTACTGCGAATTTAGAAAACGTCCTGCCACGGTGCACATTACGTGGTATATCTCGGACGTCGAAAACGGTGTAATGTTTTCGCGCACAGGTTTTCCGATAGAATTTTTTCGAAAGAATGTTTGTTCGGACGACGGCACGTGTGCCATTATGTGATTGTTCGTTTCTACAGCCGATTTAGTGGAGGTATGCTCTTGCACAGACTGTTTAAGACCGGTCCGCGGTGTTTACGTCGCCGAAGACAAATTATACGGAAGCACGGCTGTGGCGGCGACGTAAATAGACGATAGCAATGTGAAAATCAAAACAATTTCTTGCTGTCGCGAAGAATAAAATGAAAAAAAGTAATAAATATAAAATAAAAACCAATACCATTCCTTCTTTATGATAGAGACGAGAATTCCTTGAAATTGTTCTTGATTCGAACGCGTTTTTTCGATATCGAGTTTCTATAAACGCACGCTCAGCAAACGTTTTCCGATGTATCCGACAGCGAATTTATCAGCGGAACGTTATTTATCAAAAACCCAATCGAATACGTCTCACGGGATGACGGACGATATATAATGTAAGACCGTTAAATCACTACCGCAAGTTCGGCTATGAAAAAACTTAGAAGAGTTAAAAATTAATCCTTTAGTTCATTTCTTCCTTTTCCAATTGATTAGTCTCCAAATCCTATAAGATATGACCTTTGGTTTCACAATTCTATTAGTCTTCGGAAATATTAAATCATACTTTCACGGTCCTATAATTTTTCTCTCTCCAGGTTAAGTTAATATCCGCTAATCTTTCCATCTACTTCGAACGCAACGTTCAGAATTAACCGATAACTGATCTTTCTCATTTGTTTAAATCCGTCCTTGATGTTTATTTTTGCATTTATGCCATTTACATATATTCGTCCCATGACATCGTCTTGAGCGATGTCCAAATCGAGATAAGACTGTTCGGGGTATTCGTTATTAATAAATGTTTTCAACCAAAAAAAGAGTAATTATTCTATGAATATTTTTTAGTTACGTTTGTATTCTTAGCAAATTCTTCTATTCCTATTTAAAAAAAAAACCCGTATAACAGGTACAATGACAGAGAGTGTTTACAAACTATTTACAACGTTATGATTGGCAATTTACCACTTCTTAATATCACCATATTACCTCGAGTTGTAAATCATTCAAGTTATTCCACCAAATCGGTAATTAAGATAAAATATCGTTTAGATCAGCGATTCCCAAACTGTGCACCGCGGTGCCCTAGAGGTACCACGACCATTTTCTAAGGGCATTGCGGTCTACGTACGGTTCATAACAAATAGTTTAAAATTTATAAAATTGTTTTTCCTTATGGTTTTCGTAAAAACTTTAGAGCAAATAATGTAATATTTTCTATTGTATATTCGGATCTTCTCATTTTAACCTTATAATAATTTTATATAATAATTATAAACATAATAACAATAATTTTTATTTATTTATTTTTTAAGTTTAAAAATGCATTAATTTATAATTAAGTTAAATTTTAAGAAAATTAATAAAATTGGTTATCAATAGGTTTTTTTTTGTTCTGTAATGTAGTTCACAGCAGGGCACCATGGCTAAATTGGGTCCAAAAAAAGGCACCGCTGAAAATAAAGTTCGAAAACCGCTAGTCTAAATCATCGAATTAACCATCAAACCGTTAACATCTCTAGCCATTCCTACTCACAATAAAGCTTCAAACATATTTTAGCAGTTACACTTATTATGCACCGAAATCATTTAGTCGCGTTTCTAAACATACGATAAACCTTTTCAAATAAAGGAACGAATATAATTAGAATAACATAAAGTTTAACCATATGCTGTGGTTCAATTGTCTGTTAATAAACGCTAATGACTTTAATAGTTTTAAAATAATTTTAATCAACGGAGTTGTTAAGCGCCCGTCGTCGGAAAATTGTATTCAGAATTCTTTCATTCATAATTTGATAAAATTAAATATAAATTGACTGTACGTTTTTATATAGATATTTGGAAAATGGGAAGCATATAATATTTAAGATATTTTTTCCGTGACATAATTCAAAGGTCACCGATCAATATTTTTGCACATAAAAAAAAAAAAAAAAAAAAAGAAGAAATGTCGTAATCCATAGTGAGAACTAAATTGAAGCGGTAAGCATTAAAAGTATTCAAGCGGCGTTTGTCGTTTCGTATAATTTGCGAGAAAATCAACAAAACGCTGATCGATTAGCATACAGTACGCGCGATAAAAAAAAGGAAAGCTCGAACTTGGTTGAAATATAATATTATAATGTATGATTACAGCGGCAGTTGTTTACTTTTCGTCTCGGTAAGCATGCGAGCACGACCGTCGGTTGGCAATAATAATAATAATAATAATTTTATAAAACCGTAAGTGAAAAAGGGGAAAAAAAAGTAAAAATGCCACTCGAATCCTTTTTATCCCTGCATCATAAAGTGCTGCGGTGAGAGTTTATTAATAAAACATCTTTCAGACAATGTTGAACACAGTGTTATACACTCTAAGGTGTTAAACGAATAATACAATAATAATTCAATATCGCGATAATATCGAATATTTTATCGACCGTTTTACGTCGCGACGAAATGAATAACAATGTTACATTGCCACGGTAACATATGCGTCACTAAGAGGTATCGAGGGGTATCTTTGCTACCCCAGACATTTTTGTAGGGTAGCGAGAATATTTCCTTGCTACTCTAAAAAAAATTATAAATTTTAAAAGTATATTCGAAGTTCATTATTCAAGTGTGTACGAATATAGACGATCTATTATTGTGATTGTATCCAAAATAATTATATTTTGTGATAAGTACAATACGGACAATAAGACGGTGTACGTCATACCGAGTTTTATGAAGAAGAGTTAGCCAATTAAGTGAGCCAGTTATCATATTAACCTTTAAAAATTAATTTTTTAACTTTCTAATAATAAACTTTGCTACCTTAAAATTTGGACTTTAGTGACGCCCAAGCACGGTGATGCAGTCGACGTTCATGCGATCTTCTACCGTCTTGTAGCGCAGCGTTCAACGCTCGTCTTCGACGTCCCCCTTCCGTGCACTACGCGCATATTATTGTTGTATTATCATTTATTGTATTATTATATTATAATATTACGAATCTATCGACAAAATTAAAACGTTACAACAATATGCGTACACGTGCACACGGTGGGGGAATCAAAAACGCGACTGTGTGTTTAAACAGAACCGTTTCCTAGTGTATTGTTATTGTAAAGTATTACTATTTCCCTCCCTCCCTCTTTAATACTTCCGAAGAGTTATTATAATTTATTTTATTTTTTTTGTTTCATCGTCAGTTAAAAACGACCCCCCGATTTTTGTTTCGCTCGTGTATTTGTAGGACCCGCTGACCGATTCACCGCAAAACAGTCGCTTTTCGCTCGATGAATTTCAAAAATTCGAGAAAATCGCAATGCCAACGACGACACATGAATTCCAACGTAACATGCGTTGGTTTCCGAACGTGTTTTGAATGCACGAACGCATCCAGTAAAATATTATACTGTACGGGAAATCAATTTTTTTACTATAATTGTACGTACCTATATGTGCAGTATACTCTTTAAAACTATTTATCAACATGTAAAACTACCTGAAGTTACGTGTCGTACATGTTGCATGTTCCGTTGATTTACTTGAAGCGATTAACAGAAGAAAAAATAACAAATTCCAATTCAAAAGTATACGATAAATTGATTTCTAGCAACTGTCTACATTACATCGTTTGTATTCATCTCCGAACTAGACGGATAACGATG